CTTGAAACATAAAACCCTCTGAGGTTATTTTCTCATTCCTCAAACTTCATAGACATGTGAAAACGGAGAAATAGGTCTCTATAATAAGAAAATCCACAGTGCAGGCATGATGATGAATGGCATATGGCATTCATCTGGCACTGAGTCTCAGCATCCAGGAGTAACAGAGAGTGGTGGAGACTGTGGCAAACCCGAGAATGGATGTCATCTAAAAGGAGTAAGCTGTTCCTTAGCCCCAGCTGCTTGTTGCCGGATCAACTGAATTCTTAAGACCCCCGGAATATATAGCATTTTATATAAAAACACCAAATTTTTGTGTCAGCTTACATCTTTTTAGTTGGTAAGAGCCCAGCCTTGATTTAATAGATTCAGTCACAGAAATGTCACTAATTTGTAAGGCAGCTCACTCCATGTATTCAAAAGCTATAGTTTTAGGAGAACTTTTTTTCATGTTGAATCAAAATCAAAACCTGATCCTTGATTACTTTCAAGTAAGCTAAGTCTGTGCTCAAGAGCTACAGCATGGACCTAATTCCTTCTCCCCAGAGCTCTCTAAAAAACAGAAGATGGTAAATGAGCATGTTGCCACCCTAAGCACTCACTTCTAGGTCATATCTACTCTGGTATTCTGAGTATCTCAAATACCCTGGAGTTTTTCTCTGGATCAGTTTTAGACTAGAAATAGTCCTCTTCAAATATGATACTAGAAACCCTCCAAAATGCTCTAGTTATGGTCTAACCAGTGCAAAGGGCATTTCCTCTCTTTTTCTGGTTAAAGTCTCAGTCCATGTTGTGTTTAGTAGACTGATCACTACATCACAGTGAGACAGTCACACACTACACCAGACTGCCTGGGTTCCAAAGCAGCTTCATCCACATTTTAGCTATGGGACCTTTGGCAAGATACTTGCTCTGCGCCTCAGTTTCTTCATTTACAAAATGGGGACAACAGTTGTACTGACTTCAAGGAGTTGACCTGATAATTAAATTTGTTGATATGTGTTAAATACTTAGAACATTGTCTGGCAGGTAATGAGTGCTATGAAAGTGTCAACACTTAACATTGCTGTGGCTGTTACTATTAAATCACAATGATCCAAACGCCAAGCCATGGTAATGGCTGAGTCCTGCCAGCATGCCATCTCAAAAATGCCACAAACTCTCTGATCCTGTTACTACTGTTACTACTTTCTCGGCCTTGAGGATATCTGTCATGTGCCAGGCACTGTGCTAGGACTGGAGGACACAAATACAAATAAAACATGAGCTTTGCCTTCATTCAGGGTCACAATAGAGCAAAGAGACAAACAATGATAAAATAGAAATAATCTCTGGGAGACATATATGCACCAACAGCCCAAAGGCGTTCCCAGCTTTTGTTTTACAGCCTCCTATTTAATTTCTCTAAATACTTTAAAATGGAAGGAAACCAGAGAAACACATTTCAAACACATTTATAAGGTTGTCATTATTTATGAGGAACTTCATCCTTCATACCCTTAAGGTCTGTCATGGCTCTTAACTTTCACCTCCCATTTTTTCCAGAGGTATTTGTTATTTTTGCTAATTTGCTGGTGTTTATTTGCAAGCAAAATTACTTGTTCAGATGTCACTCACATTCCAGTCTCTGCTCCACGGGAGTTTTTAAAATCCATTTGGAGTCTTTGATCTTATTACTTGACCATGAGTATCATAACCTTAAAATTATAGCCAACCTTGAAATGTGTTTACAAAATCAATGCGGATATCCATATACATCCCATTACTGCATGTCCTCGCCTAGCAGAGAGGGCTGCAATCCCAGTAGCAGACCCACCCTCTGCTTTGCACATTCTCTCAGTCCCAGGGACTCTGTTTTCTTCTAAATACCATTAATAGTCTCTTTGACTGTCATTGGTTGCAAAGGTCATGTTTGCTTTCCCGGTGATCTTATTCTTGCCCAGGAGTGCCATAATAAATGGGATAGCCATCAAAAAGATAAAATCATTCCACCCACCAGCGAGAGTTATACCGCTTGGTTTTTCAAATTATCAACCAAAATGTTCTCTTCTATTAGTTCAGATAACCAAGGAATTAATCGATTATATGAAGTCGCTTAATGTGGTCAGCCTTTTCATAAACAGGTTGTTGAAAGGTTATCTTGCCAGCATCTGATAAACTGGGTCTTGAGTTGTCAGGGAAAGTCCAGAAATACACTAAAGTAGGTGTTGGGAACAAGGCCAGATCTTATTTTGCCATTAAATATCCAAACTTGTCACCTTTTAAAATTTCCTATTTCTTGATCACTCAAAAACCACATCATTCAAAACCTCTGTTTATCAACCTCCATTGATAAAAGGAAGTTGTGTTTCTTCACTTTTCATTTATGAAGCACATGTCAATTAGAGCTTCTGAGCCAAATGAGAGGTAGTATTACCTAAGTTAATGTAATTCCATCCAAGTGCTAAGACACGAAGATTTGAAAGTTTCCAGGGCTTGGGCCTCCCCTGGTGACGCAGTGATTGAACACTGGTCTGCAAAGCTGCCAGCAGCCTCTGCAGCACTGGTTCTATCCCGGGCCACCGGCGAGGGTCCCACATGGCGCACAGACCTCTCCTGCCACACCCACTGCTCCCCTCAGCCATGTATTTCGTCAGTCTGCCTGTTCTGTTCCCTGCACTGGCTCTGGTGAATTCTCTCACCCTCCCACGCTTCTGACTGTACCCAGTGCTTGTATAAATAAATAAATAAATCTTTAAAAAAAAAAGAAAGTTTCCAGGGCTTTATTATGAGCCTTTGCTTATATATCCTGCAAATAGTTCCTAGACCTGTGTTACTGCATTCAAGCAGTCCTAATCATGACCCACTGCGTGAAATGTTCAGATTCACAATCCTGCAAAATCTTTTCAAGTTACCAATTTCATCCATTGCCTCAGAAGTGAAACTAGTCCATTTTCTGGGGCATTGAGGTGTCCTCCAGTCTGGCTTTTCTGCCTAGAAAACGCCATTTCCGTAAAGAGCTGTCATGCTCCATGTCTTTTGGCTTATGATTTAGCTGCTCAGGGAAAGTGCAGGCTCTCTTGCCCACTCCGTGCTGGTGATACGTGTTTTTGTTTTATTAAATCTTTAAAATTCTGGACTTGTTGTTTATGACCCCCATATATTCTTTTGTTCTTTTCTATGACTGGTTAGATCACATTTTTTTTTTCACCCTTTGTAAAAATATTAGTGCCTTTCTAAGGAACATCATGGTCTCCAGAATAGCTGAATATTACAATGGAGAGATGGGCTGAGCTTATTGTTAGGTGGCCCAGGACTGTTTCACTGCTAGGAAGGTCGGAGACATGGTCATTAGAAACATGGATCTTCCCGTGCTTGCCAGATTTGTTTGGACAAAGCTGGGATCATTTGATACTAATCACAGAGCTTTTTGCAAAATAAAGATTTCAAACAGAATCCCAGTTGCAGACAGTTTGTGATTAAAAGTTCCTAAGAAGCCCTCAGTAGGGGAAGCAAGTTCTCATCTAGTTCTGAACTTCATCCTGTGTGCATGTTAGCCCTAGGGCCTGTCCACTGTTTGCCACAAATAACCCAGTTCTTCTGAGCCCCGGGCTTAGGTACATGTCACAGAGCTCAGTGGTCCAAGCAGCCACATCATACACGGCTTCTGCATTCCTCAAACAAGGGCAGCTGATAAGTTGCCACCTTATGGTTCTACCACTGCAGGGAGGGTATGCAGAAAGTCTGAACTTATCTTTCCTACAACTTGGCCACTCTACTGATGTGAATCCCCAAATAAACCATTCCATGACATCCAATTGAACTTGTTCCTGTGCATACAGTATCTCACAGCCCATCCTGTGCTGTTAGTTTTGGCAAGTACTCTACAGCATATAATAAATCATGGAAGGAAAAGCTTTTTGGCCTAGCATGGTTCAGCTTGCTGTAATGTCAGACTACAGAAAGCAGTTCTGTTTTTAGACATCCTTTTACTAACCCAACATTCATAATTTATGATTTCACTGTAAAATTCCTGCAACACTACACCAAAAGTAGTGCTGCCCTTTAATTAAGTACTCTCAGTAGGAAAAACGTGAAACTGATGTGCAAAACATCTCTGTGTTCACAGTGATTGATAGTGATTACATCTTTATGAACCCAGCCTAGAGGTCTCAACTTCCTGATGGGTGAAGTCGTCTACAGGGCTACTTCCTGAGTCTGCCTGGCGGGGATAGTCACTACTATCCAAATTGTAGATAATTTGGAGGCACCATTTAGAGATATTAAGGGTTAAGCCTACATCTGTCTATACTTTGTCACAAGTCTACATGACATTATTCCTCACTTTCCTGATAAGGACCTATGAACAAATTTCATGCCATGTATGCACTTAAAGAAGTTGTAATACAGAGAATGAAGGGTTAGGGAGAAGGTGTCTTTGAGGGATCCCAGTTGTCATATGTGTTCTTTTTTTAAGACTAGGATAAATGGAGGATAGAAAAGACTTTGGCCTGGTTTGTATGAGAACAGCACATTATAGCCAGAAGACGACCTCAAGCTGTTCCATTTTTTAAATTTACCTTTCAAATATTGTTTTCATTAGTTGCAAATAGGTAAGCTTAAAATTTAAACTAGTACTCTAAACGTTAGGAGGCTAAAATCCAAACCCTGGTGCGCCCTAGCTCATCATTGCTGTTTTGTTTTTTTTAACTCTGGTTTTATCCTTCATCAGCTAAATAGTCACATCATAACACCTTCCAGAAAGGTAATTAGCGTAATGCATACACTAAAGACGTCAACTTCCTTGAAAGAAACATACCAAATCCATCCAAGGTGGTAATGTGTGGGTTGCATAAGCTCTTTGGTGTAAGTTAAGCTACTTTCAGTCATAGTCCTACAAATCAAGACAAAAACTGTGTGTAATAATAGCACTTAATCGACTTACTAGTGTTTTAAAGATCACCTTTTTCTGGAACTATGTTGATACTATATGTGCATACTATTTTCTCGTGTTTTTGCAGATTTGGGCCGGGCTTGGTTATCTATTGGTATGGATTTATCCAAGAGCTGGACTGTAACCGGGAGAGAGGCATCCTGCTCAAAGCCTGTTTCCCCACGGACATTGTCACCTTGTGCCACAGCGTAGCTTGACCCTGGTGATCCTGGAAGAGAAGCTGAGAGGAAAAGGTGAATCCGGAAGCAATTTTACTTTCCTGCAGTGTAAACTGCTGGCAACATCTGCCCTGAACTTCAGCTGAACTCTGGCTGCTCGTGGTCACACCACTACCTCTTTAGACAAACATATCAAGAGTTTCTGTTTTCCTTCATCCCTTGCTGATGTGAACAGCCAAGAACTACAGACACAACCCACTCATTATCAGCATTTCTGTCTCTGTCAAACAGTTAGTTTATAGATAGTCATAATCTTTCTTCCTTCCGGATGGTTTCTCCTTGTATGCCGAACAAAAGAAAAAATGTGGAGACTGAAAGGTGTGATTTTTCAATTCTCCCAGTTACCGAATCACCCTCTTACTTTTTTTCTAAGCCTCCTTTGATTCTCTCTCCCTCCCCCTTTCTCTTCATGTACACCCACAGATACCCAGTATTGCATTACGGTCACAGAATGATCTAGCCCAATCCCGGGAAAGCTGAAGACCAGAAGTCTGAAACTACCTTCTGACTCTTACCTGCAGGGCACCCAGCCCACCGAGGTGGTAGCCTGCACGCCTGCTTCTTTTGTCCAGCCTTTACCTAACTTCTGCTGCATGGAGCCGAGGTGGCAAAATACACCCGATGAGAATTTCCTCTTTCATGATACTTATTTGAACCCCAAACATTCTCCACTTATCTCTTTTAAAACTATTAATTGCACTGTGGCTGGAAACCACACTTCCTTGGAACAAGGACCGAAGGGAAAAAAATGATGTTCGGTGCCAGCATCGACAAGAGTTTATTTTGAAACATGACTAGTTGTCGGTATGTAGGGTAGTCAGTATTTTATGAGTAAAAGTTTTTTAAAAGCACATTCTGTGCACTCCTTTGTATCTGCATTTTCATACCACATAATTATATAATAACTGATGCATTAGAAATATTCAGCTCTGAATGAATAAGTATACTAGAAATAAGCCCAGAGCAATTTCCAAATAAGCAAAATACCTTGTGTTTGTTCACTTGAATTTATTCACTTTTTATATTGCAAGCCAGATCTCAATCTAAAGCACAATATCAATAAATTCATTATAAACAAACCTGTTTTAGGAAACATTAAAAATTGCTCTGTACCCAGAAACATATTTAAGAAAATGTTTGTCCCCACATTGGCAAGACAGATAACTTTTATAATGTGGAAGAGTTGAATTTGGACATCTTAATAAGAATATAACTTTTATAAACACCTTTAAGTTAAATATATCGATCGCTTGGTTCTTTCAAAAGACTAAATATGCCATTGTCCTTTTATTCACTTTGCACCTAAAAAATGTCTGCTTGCTGCTTCTCCTTTTGAAGAACACAAACATTGGGTCCAAATGTTATTTCTGTGTACGTTGCATTAAACAAAGAAAGTGGTAGAAGGGGAACCGGTAAGGTGGTATCCAGCAAGCATCTGCTTCAGCATAAAACTGATCGTGCAGGTTTTATGAGTGAAATAGAGTGATTTGAAACCACTTGCCATTGTCTTGTTACACACACAAATTTTAAACAAAACTGTTTTTAAAGCAGTTTTCATGGCATGTTCTAAACTTTTTTCTTCATCGGGAATAAATTACATTTATCTACACAGATGTTGAAAATCCTGTTAAACCTTGTCAAGGATTTGTTTGTTTTACATTGAACAAATTTATGATGAGGGTGTACAAATAAATTAAAAAATAAAAGAGGCGCTTGCGTTTCATATTCATTCTGCTACTGGTGCCCAGACATAATGTGTTATGAGAGGGTAGTAGTGTTCTCTGGCCTTCTCTTTATGAATGAGGTTTTCAAATTCAGCCCTTAAAAGTGGGAAAGAAACCAGCATACATGGTCTACATACTATGATAAGGTTACAAGTTATTCAAAACTAAGCCTTTTCCTACATGAAAGCTAATGCAACCTCAGATCTGCCACTTTTCAATTAGAGGTGTTGGGGGAAAGAAGTAATTTTCTCAAGCTGGAAGCCTAAAGCCTCCTTTTAAAAACTATTTTATGTTAGAAATACTTATCTGTGTTATCTGTATTGCTTGTTTACTTGTTTGGTGCCTTTTTGTTTATTTGTTTAAACAGTATCAACAGTCCTGGAATGCAGACATGGAATGACAATGTATTTTTATTGCTGTTGTCATTAGAACATTAACATTAAAGCCAAATCTTGTTTTATGGAGCATTCTACAAACTGCGTTAATGAATTATGAAAGCCAGAATGCAGGAGTGTGTGTAAAACGTGAAATTAAATGTTGTGCTCTCTGGCATATATAGACTTGCCGAGCATCTGCTTTCACAAACAAATAAGAAACCCCACTAGAAGCTGAGCAAGAATCAGCTATCAGAAAAACTGATCCAGCACCCACATTTAAGGTGACTTTTTAGACTCTTCCAGCCCCCACTCTTCAAACCCCCCCCCCAATAATGAGAATCTTTTCTTTCTCCTGCCTTCAAGTGAGATATATGTCAATTTTTCTGAACACTCCTGAAATTGCATGTAAACAGGAAGGTTGAGGGGTCCAAAGTAGAAATCGGGTCTCCAGAGGAAATAATTTTCTTTTAACCATAGGTGTGTGTACCTGCTCATTATCAGCAAGGCATGATTCCACCCTGGAAGAGATGATAAATTGTTGGTCTTTGGGGAAGGGAGGGGTGGGTACATTAACTCATTGAAGCTGCCAAGGGATTGCTTAAAGCCCTGGATGAGGTAATCCACTAAATGGTCCCCGGTGGGCCACACTAATTAATGCACAGTGCCCAAGTGAACAGTTAATTCACTGGCCTCTCAATGAGGAGCTACACCCATTGTTTTCCTTTTCTCTCTGAAACCAAGACACCTTGAATGTCTGCTCTTTTTAACCTGCTCCCTCCCACCATAGACCTGGTGTTTCTACTGATTAAAATCTTGCACTGCTTTCAAATGCCACTTCCTCTCATTTTCTACCTCTTCCTGTCCATCTTTCCACATGGACATGTGTTCTGCACTGTCTCACTATTCCCTGGCTCTTTCTCTCTAGAAAGTGATCTCATTGCCAAAATGTACCCCATCTAAGTCCTGACCTGTCTGTCCTCAGGGTAAGGCGAGGAGGGAGCAGTTGACTTTATCTCTTTGGGGAAAAGCAGACCTGAGCATCTTTCATGTGTCAGAATATTCAAGCTCATGGGTGGCACCTGAAGGACAGTAAACCTTTTAAAAATAATAAGAGATTTCAGGGGCTTCCCTGGTGGCGCAAGGGGTTAATCACCACACTATGAAGCAATCTGCAGCCTCTGCAGCATGAGTTCCATCACCGGCCAGCCAGGGAGCTACCCACATGGCGCAACAGACCTCTCCTGTCTCACCCGCTGCTCCCCTCAGCAGTGTGTTTCAGTCATTCTGCTTGTTCTGTTCCCCACTCTGTCTCTGGTGAATCCTGTCACCCCCCGCATCTCTGGCCTGTACCCCAGCTCTTGTATGCATAAATAAATAAATCTTTAAAAAAATAAAATAATAAGAGATTTTACAGGGTCAAATATGGCATGAGGTTTATGCCATCAGCAAATGTTTTGGCAAAAGGGGCCAAAAACATCGGAGGCTTACAGCTACTTTCAGCCTAAGTGTGCCTGTTCTACTGATTAAAATTACAATCTAAACAGTAAAATGTTTAATTTAGTTAAAGAATCACTCTTCACGCTTAATGTTCATCTTGGAGCCACTTGTCATTTTCCAGGTGGTGGAAATTTCCTCAAAGTATGTATTTTGTGACAAGGATGGGAGCAGAAAATCCTCCAATAGGGACCTTCTTGATTAGGGCTAAGAAACAGGGCACACTTAACAACAGGGGAAACCAAAATGCAAACAACAGGGGCTCACCTGCTGTATCGCCATTTGTAGGGAAGCTCCTCTCTGAACCGGTCTATAAAGTCACTGTCAGGTTAAAGAAGAGTCACATGTCACAAAGTTTGGAACATTTGTGTTACCCAAAACTAGCCTAAATTTCATTGTATTTGCATAATGCAAAAACTGGTCTAAAAAAGGTAAGCAAGGCCTGAAGCTGCTTTAGTAAAAACATGCCTGAATTCCAAAGATTAAATAAGGAAGATGGAATTATGAATTAAATAATAACCAGAACAGCTTGGGTTCCTCTTGTGTTTTTTACTTTCCTGCTATTGTTTTGAATATGCCTGTGAGACAAAGGGCTGCTTAGGTCAAGCACTATAAATTACAGTTTTCATACAATAGTAATCTACGAAAATGATTTCAAAGCTTGATCAAAGTACTTCAAAAAACTTTTTAAACTTTTCCACGATGCAGGGGAAGGGGAAATGCTCATTTGATGCCTTTATTTATTTTAGTCAGTATAGTAAAGTTCGATCTTGGCATCATTTCTACTTTATATAAATAAATGTAATCTGTTCTTACCGTTGTTCCATGTAAAGGGGGTTTAAGTTTTCATCTAGATACTGGAACAGCTAAACAGTTGGAGGCATTTGGAATGTAAGGAAAAGATACCCCTAATGTGGCATTTTAAAATAAGTTTAACGTGGCAATTTTTGTGATGCCCGAAGTGTTTGAGATTGTCTAACTCCTGTGCTTAGAATAAAATGGATATCGGTGAATTTATTTGGAATTTTAATAATCACCACAGCAACAGCTATATTTAGTTTTTCATCCCTTTACCTTCATCACTTGGGTTTATCTGGAGCTATTGCATCTCCTAGGCAAAAGATGATGGGAAATACCTAGTGATAGCAAAATTAAGCATATTCTAGGCCCAACCGTATATAAAGATGGTGCGGGGCAGCTGCAACAATGTCAGACTCAGCTAAAGACCCATGGTACTTTATTAAGGTAATTTTTATTTTTTTAAAGGAAGGTCATTTTGAAATATGGGCATGAAATATAACCAAGTCAATTAAGTAATAACAATTGAAGTTCAGAGTTTAATTGAGGACTGAACATGAAGCCAATGACCATTAACCTAAAGCAGCCATGAATTCCCCCCTGGAAACTGCCTTGGTTAAAGGTATTTCTAGAATAACTAATACTTTTTCCTTTTGAAAAAAAAAAAGGTTTAGTAAAAAATAAATAATTAAATTGGATAACACAAACACATCTCCTAGGGAAAATTGCTTTTGTCACTTTTATATCAACACAAAATACGTTGAGAAATAGCAATTAACTGTGACTAGAGTATACTTTGTTTTTTAATTTTAATTGATTTTTATAGAGCAAATCAAAATTTAGATCATCTAAACCACTCCTAAGAGAAATCATACTTAATGTAAGTGAAAGTTGTGCGTACCCTTTATTTGATTGCACTGCATTTATCTCAATTGTTGACTTCTTTCTGTAGTTGTTTATTGGCAAGATTTCCAATTAGACTGCAAAAGCTTCATTGAGTAGAAACTATATTTTTCTTATTCACTGCTGTATTCCCCCAATAGCTAAAAGAGTACCTGCCACAGAACACGTATCAATAAATGTAAAATGTACAAATGGATGACCATTAAATGTATATTGTGTTCTCACGTGCATTAAGGAAATAATTGGAACCTTTTAATTTTTCTCAGTTTCCTTAGCCAAAAATGAAGAGAAGCATCATATGTGTTGCTATTAATTAAAAAATTACTTTAGAAACCCTCCACAGCTGAAATAAACAGATTCATGAACCAGGGTATTTTAGGTTGCATATTTAAGTTTTAAGGCAAATTCATGTGATTTCATTGTATTTGCATTGAAGCTAGCCTTAGTACATTTTTTATCCACTGTATTGCTAACTAAACTAGGGCATTTAAAAGTCTTATCTTTGTTTCTCCTTTTGAAAAGGGCTTAAAGCTTTATCTATACATTTCTATTTATGAAACAATTTCCTTTAAGATGTCAGGGGCCGGCCAAAATCAAATGTGTTTCCCACACAAATTTTGGGATATTAGATTAACTGTAAATGGTACTTTTAATTGCTCACTTTTTATAATGCTGAGTTGGGGGCAAAATGCTTCCTGGCCAACGAAGTGGTTGGCTGGCTAAAAAAGAAGGGTTCTTTGGCCCTAGGCCAACAGGATCTGACTTCAGAGAGACACTGTCCATGAACTATCAGTGGGCGTTAGACATTAGTGTATTATCATTTGAAAGTCAAAGTGTATTATCATTTGAAAGTCAAAGGCATTTGGCATATTTCCTCATTATTTTGGAAACTTGTGACACAAAAGGAACTGAAACGTTCACGTTTCTTCTTTACTCTGTCAGTTTCCCAGGGCTGACTTTGCTGGGGTTGTTTGGTGCGTGATTCCTTCTGGGAGGATCTGGAGAGAATGGAAACCCAGTACAGCTGTCACTGAGGCCAGGTCCTCTGGCTTCCTGTGATATATTTCTGCATATATTTCTAGCACTTAGTCTGCTCAAGACACAGCTATCTATTGAGTCTTCACTATATATTTAGAAGTGTTTGAGGTGCTGTGGAGAATTAAAATTATGCAAAAAGTCATTGTTGAAAAAAAATCATTACTTGTCATAATGAACACAAAAGATCTGAACATTTCAGAAAAGCAATCAGAGTATAATAAGGAAGAAGGAAACTGCTAAGGCTTTTAAGAAGATATTTTAACTCTGGAGTACGGGCAGCAAATAGTTTTCCATTTGCTTCTAGTGGCATTCACTGCTATTGAGAAGAATTCTCAAGTTCAACTCAGCAGGAAATAGGGTTATGATCAATTATGGGCACTAGTCTTTGGAGTGGGTAGTGATCACATAGATGCCACATATTTTCAATTCCTGCCCTAGGCCATTCATGTTTAGTGCAAGTATAAATAAATTCTAAGCATTTGGAACAGAACTCATAACCTTGTTCGTGGGCCTGGGCAATAAAACAAGCAATAGCATTCTCCATTGGTTCTATAGCATCAAGTGAGTGTCTGTTCCTGGCAGAAATCTGTTTAGTAATTCATATAAACTAAACATGTCAATAAGAATATGATTTAAAAACTCAAGAAAAACACAAGATAATTATTGCTCTCACTAAAGTGAGTGCCTACTAGTTCAATGATGTTACTGATGAAAAAATAATGGGTCTATATTTCTGTGCTTGCCTGGAGGATCTTACAATCGAGGAGCGCTTCCATTAGATGATCTTGTATACTTCTTATATTTTTGGAATTTTTTCCTCCAGTAAAACCAGACTGGGCTTTCCAGGTCAGCTGTGCCTACCGTCCCTTTCATGGACTTTGTATCATCTTGGTATCGATTTCCTTTGCAGTATATTTTTATAAGGTAGTGATTGGATATTTGTAATATTTGTCTTCAAATATGCTCTGAAAGACAAGTGTTAAAATATTTTCAAGAATGAAGGAGATTGGTGTTTTTTTACAAGCAGTTTTTGGTAATATACTCACCATTAAGCCATAAATAATTTTCCTAAAACC